CCATTTCCCAGGTGTGGACAGTCCTCTCCAGGCCCTGAAGCACACTGCTCTGGGGACATACTTCCACGGTGGCCTCGGCTACCAGGACAGTCACTTCTCTGGGCTGAACATGGAATATGGTTTCTCCAAATGCACCAACCAGTCTGTGAAAACCAGTGCAGACAAGATTTCTGTGGAAGAGTATTTGGTGGATGCCTTGAAGGGGAGTGTGAGCTTTGGTGAACCTCAGAACTTGGCCAGCCTAGCCAAGACGTGGAGAGGAGGTGGGCTGGACCAGAAGGAACAGTTTCCTGCAGCAAGTGAGAATGAAGGTGTTCTGCTGAACGAGGTGATGGTCTGAGCCCACACACTGGGGTGGGAGGCAGTTTCTCCTGGGCTCCATGTGCTCCTGCAGCAGCACTGCTTGCTGAGTGGTTCTGAATTCTGAAGCTGCCAGATAAGCTGCAGTGTTGTTTCCTGCAGGATATAAAAAAGCTCTGTCTGTCTCAGATTTTGGCTCTGCTCTGTGTGCTCATTCACCAGGCACTCGTGTCTGGCCCTGAGCAGTGGTTCTGTGCTGAGTCAGTCCTCAGCCATGTCCTCCTCTCTGCTTGGCTGTGGAGGAGCTCAGTCCAGTGAGGTGAACAGGCTGCAGTATTTACTGGCTCTGGGTGATCTGGGCTGTGTCACAGACAGCAGTGACAGGGAGCTGTGGAGCTGCAGGAGGCCTCAGCTGGGAGCCAGACACAGGCTTGGGCCTAGCAGATTGGTGTAAATCCTGGGCACATGAGTCACTTGTCAATTCAGTTCTCTCTTGCCACTCCTCATAGAACACTTCTGTGGAGTCAGTGTGACCCTGTCAGGATTGTCTGGGGAGTTCAGGGTGTCCTTCCCTGCCTTAGTGTCTCTTACACTGTCCCCTGAGGCTTTAGCTCTCACACAGAAGTGTGTGGTACCTATCATTGTGCTGCTTCTGCAAATGTCGCTCTCTGCGTGTGCAGCTCAACACTGAAGTGTTTCTTCCCTTGCCTCATCTGGTTTTCTGCTCTGAACTTGCAGAAGCTGAAGCCTGTGGATTATGAGTACCGAGAAGAGGTTCACTGGACCAAGTGCAAAGGTTCCTTGGGCATCGGCTCTTTTGGAGAAGTGTACAAGATAGAGGACAAACAGACAGGATTTCAGTGTGCTGCCAAAAAGGTAATTACAGAGTCACAGATTCCAGGCTGGAAAAGACCTCTGAAGTCATCAGAGTGATGTGACCTAACACCACCATGTCAACCAGGCCAGGATATGCTGTTGGGACATGGTGTGCGTGGCACAAATCCTGGTTGGGGTATGGGTTTGTAGGCTGCCTGGGCCCTCAGGGGTGTGGCAGAGAGAGGAGAATCTCAACTGTTTGGTTTGAACTTGCACTTGAATAGCTTCCTCACCTCTGGGAACTGATGTTTCACACATCACTCCACTTCAACAAGCATGTGGGAAGTGTTTGGCTTGAGTACCAAAATACTATGTGTGAAAAGAACTGGAACTTGGGTTTGCCAGGTTGAAATGATCACTTGTCCTTACTTACACTGGGCTCAACATGATGTGTTGCCTGTGGAGAGGTGTGAGTGGCAAGATAAGTGTGTCCAGTTTGACCACTGCACTTGTCAGCCGAAGCAGCAAATGTCTTTAAAGCGTGGAGAAAGCTAATTCCTGTTCTGCATCCTGCCAGTTTGGATGTGGAACTCTGTGGCAGCACAGCAGGCTGTTTTGGCAGTGTGTAGCCACAGAAACTCATTGCCCATTTTACAAATACACAGTCTTGGACAAATCCCTGTTCCTCGTGGGGTGTGTCCTCAGGAAGGAGGAGTGGATGTGCCGAAAGGAGCACAGGAATTGGAGCTGCCCTCCTTGCAGCAGACTGGGTGTTGGAAGCACCTGCTCTCCAAAGTGTTGAGATTAAAACAAACCAGCTCTGGCTGCATTGCTGACAGAGAAAAAACAGGAGACATCCTTTTCCCACCAGAATCTTAATGACTCATGTTTTCCTTCTGGGCTTTAGCAAATTCTTGCTTTATTTTGCTTGGCTGAACTCAGTGAATCAAGTTTGTCTTTAACCATTTTTAGGGTGAATAGCACCTAAAAAGTGATTGTGCAGATCCAACCTCTAGATCACGTCCAATTACATCCTCCTTGTGCCTCTGCTGCTGCAGAGCTCAGGATGCTCCAACCCAGCCCTCAGAGAGGGAATCATAGAGTCATCAAGGCTGGAAAAGGCCTTTAAGATCATCAAGTCCAGCCTGGTGCCACCACTGTGGCCCCCCAGCTGTGCCAGGGTCGCTGCAGGCTGTGCTCAGTGGTGTTTGTCCCCAGGTGCAGGTGGAACACTTCCGTGCCGAGGAGCTGACGACGTGTGCCGCGGTGACGAGTCCCCGCGTGGTGCCCTTGTACGGCGCCGTCAAGGAAGGACCCTGTGTCACCATCTTCATGAAGCTCATGGAGGGTGAGGAAGGAACAGCACAGTGGGCGTTGAGCTATTCCTCCTCCTGCCCCAGTTCTCATCTGTTAGTTCCTTGATGGATCCAGAGTGTTCCTAGTGTTCATTCCCGAGTGGGCTGGGATAGGTGTGGGTAACACCTCGTGTGCACAGTGGGATTCCTGTGGGGGGAGTAATTCCCAGTCCTGCCTCACTCCAGGTCAAGATATCTCTCTTGACCAGCAAATTCTTACCAAAACACTCAGCTGGTGCTGGTTCTGCTGCCGTTGGTTTACAAGGCACCAAGTGAAGCACATTGCACTGGCACAGAGGATTCTGTCCAGGCAAATCCAGGTGTTTCCATTGCCTGATGCTCTTCTCCTAGCCAGAATCATGGAAACCAGGCTGGAAAAATCAGCTGGTGATCGCAGCACCTAGAAATGCTGATCTGATCACAGAGCAGTTGCTTTTGACACAAACCAGCACTGTTAAACTGACACTAAGCAAAAAGCTCCATGAACAAGGTCAGTTCCTGTGGGCAGCAGAAGTCTGGGAATAAACAGCAGGAACAGACCCATGTGTGGAAGATAAAGGGCTGTCAGTCCTGGAAATTCTCATTTCTTCATTGGAAACAACACAGAATGCTGCTGATGCAGGGAAGGATTTAAAGCTCAGCTAACCTGGACTCTCTGGATTCTGTTCTAGGTGGCTCATTAGGACAACTAATTAAACAGAGCGGCTGCCTGCCAGAGGACAGAGCCCTCAGCTACCTGGGCCAGGTGTTGGAGGGCTTGGAGTATCTTCATGCTCAAAACATTCTCCATGGAGATGTCAAAGGTAGGATGGGGCATGAGGCACCTTGTTCTCCCTTTTTCTCAGACGAGACAAACTGCTTGGGGGTTAAGTCACTGAGATGACTGACTGGAAATCAGAGCTCCCCGTGGTTCTAACAGCTGGGCATGTCATACTTGTCCCCTCTTTCTGTCACCTGCCGTGTCTGACAGGCTGTGGGCCCAGGCTGCCCCACCACTGGGGGAGAAGAATCTCCAGGGCAGGTAATAGGTGGTGTATAAGCAGAGATAATTACAGCTGTGTTCTTGCTTAAGCCACTGACTCTCCATGGGAGTAGCAGACCCTGGTTTGGGTCTGCTGGGGTTAGGTTGGACTCACAGAACTGTGGTTCTGTGGGGTCTAGGCCTTTTTTTTCCCATCTCAGTGCCCACAGTGCAAAGGAGGCTAATGACCCCTTGTCCTTGCAGCTGAGAACGTGCTGCTGTCTGACGACGGAAGCAGAGCTCTGCTCTGTGACTTTGGCCACTCGGCTCACCTGCACCCAGATGGCCTGGGGAAGTGCTTGGTCACAGGTAAGGGTTGCTGCTGCCTTTCTGAAGAACTGCCCTGCTGACTCATTCTTTCTAGTGAACATTTACATGGAGCTGATTTGCAAGTAACTGTATTTTCCAGGCTGCACATTGCTCACGGTGCCTCATTGATTGATCTTACTGTGGTGCATCTCACCAACAGCCTTAAGGCCTTTAGGATTTCCTTTCCAACTCAAACCATTCCATGATTCTGTGAAAGTGACTTGCCTCTCACTTCAGCTGGAAATCATGGATTCTGCCTTGGGCTTCCCAGCAGTGGCATAGGAGCAGTTGTGTGCCTCAGGTGCAGTGGGTTTTCTTTGCCTGGTTCCAGGGAACTACGTGCCCGGCACGGAGACGCACATGGCGCCGGAGGTGGTGATGGGCAAGCGCTGTGACTCCAAGGTGGACGTGTGGAGCAGCTGCTGCATGATGCTGCACATGCTCAACGGGTGCCACCCCTGGACCCAGTACTACAACCACCCCCTGTGCCTGAAGGTGAGTGACCTGCAGGGCCAGGCAGAGGGTGGCCCAGCCACTCCCAGTGCCAGGCAGGGGAGCTGCCAGGGCCTGCTGCTCCTAGTCGGGAGCTGTCCCTTGGGGTGCCAGGCTGGGAGCCAGCAGGGCTGCCTGACATCCTGCCAGCCTTGCCACGTAAGCTGAGCACTCCTTGTCCCTCTGGCTGCTGTGTGCTACATGTGCCTTCCATCCCCTGCTCAGGCCTTGGGTGTGACCTTTTCAGCTGTAGTAAAATTGCTGTTCGAGTCTCATTTGCTGCTTTCATTTCGGTTGGAAACGCTCTCGGGGTGGGAAGAACCTTCCTGAAATCAAATAAAGCCTCTCTGGTCTAACCTCTTTCACTTCCTGTTTGTTACACAGATCGCGAAGGAGCCTCCTCCTCTGCGGGAAATTCCACCTTCCTGCAACCCTCTCACTGCCGAGATTATCAGGCTGGGGCTGGAGAAGGAGCCTCTCCACAGAGCATCTGCAGCAGAGCTCAAAGCCAAGGCCACCGTGGCACTCAAGGAAGGTAGAGATGTGCTCTAGTGACTAATGTGCCTTGGTGTCCCCCAGGAGAGTTTGGCTGTGTCACAGTTCTCCTGTGGCTGATCTGCTGTCCAGTGTCATTTCTGCAGGCCTCAGCACTGGGGTCTGTGCTGGGGGGGTGGCTGTTGTCCACAGCTGAGTGTTTGTCCCCCAGATAAGTTACAAGTTCCTGTCACATGCTCTGTCTTCCTTCTCTGCTGAGGGAGATGTTGTGCTCTGTGGGTTTGTTCAGGTGTGTGGGCTTGTCTCAGCTGAGGCATCAGCTGCACCTAGAGCACAACTGCACGCAGAGGTTTATTGCACCCTGGGCTGTGACTCATACTTGTGGTCCAGCCTTGCCCTAAGACTGTCCATAATTTGTTTCAACCTAATCCTGCCGAGTGGTTCTGGGATACAGCAAGAATACCTGGAGTGACCTGGTCTTACCCTTGGAAGAAGTTGGCATTTTACAGCAAATAACGTTCGGGAAATCTTACAGTGAAGGAAAACTCTTACCTGTTTGATTTCTTCGTTTGCTAACGTTTGTTTGCTGTTTGTTTTTGTAGTGGGAGGTGTGAGAAGCCCCTGGAAAGGTGAATACAGAGAGCCCAGGCATTTGTCTCTGAACAAAGACAGCCATGCACAGACATCCCTGTCCCCCACACTGAGCCCAGTGGCTGAGACTGGTTCCGACCCAAAATTGTCAGTCAAAGCTTCCTGTGCCAGCCCAGTCCTTCCAGCACCTTCTCAGGAGCAAGCAGAGGAGTCTGAGGGAACCCACTGGGGTGAGGGCAAGGAGTCACCTGAGCCCTTGGATCCCCCACCTCGGTCCTCAACTCCTCTGCCCCTGAAGAGCCACGTGGAGAGATCCACAACCATTTCAGAACAAGAGCTCCAGCAGCTGGAGATAGGTGAGCCCTGGGCTGGGGAGGGAGCTCAGCTTTGTGCTTGAGAGCAGGATGAAACCAGAGCTGCTTTCTCTTGGCCTCTTGACAGTTACTTCTGGGGTTTCAGCTTGGGTGGCATTTTGTTACTAGTTCCTTTCTCGTTACACAAATTGCTCAACCTTCCTTTAAATTACCAAAACTAGTAGTTCTTAACCAACTAAATGTGCCACAAAGGTTGTGAATAGGATTTCCTTCCACCCTGACCAGCGGAGGGAACGGTGAGAGGTGCAGGAACAGCCTGTGTCAGCCTTGAGCTTCAGAGCACTGTGTGAAGGGTGTCAGAATCCCAACTGCACCTGGAATTTTGGGTTTCAAACCTCATTCTGTTACTGGAGGGATGAGCCTGGGTGGTAATAAAGGGATGGCAGATGTCAAGTGAAGAAGAACAGTTAGTCAGTCCATAGCTGTTTTGTTCTGGGCATTGCAAAACCTACAGTCACCAGCCAAGGAATTTGGTGCCCAGCAGTAAATTCAGTGCATAGTCCAATTCCATTGCCCCAGTATAACTCAGCACTTCACTTTCTGCTCCCTGGAAATTTCTTCCTTCTCTTCCTTTTGCTGCAGAGCTGTTTCTGAACAGCCTTTCCCAGCCTTACTCCCTGGAAGAGCAAGAGCAAATGCTTTCATGTCTCAGCATTGACAGCCCCTTCGTGTCCGATGCCAGTGAGAAGGTGAGTGGGAAGGGATGCAGGGGTGGGCAGTGGTGGGATCCCACCTGCATTTCCCTGTGTTTCTCATGTCAGTAAGCGACAAATATTTTATCTGGTGCTTCTTTCTCTCCTCACTCAGCACCACAAACTCCCCTTTTCTTATCCAGCTCTTCAGCTGGCCATTGATTTAACCATCTCTCATAATGTCTCCAAACTGCTGCACTCCCTTTCCCAGATGGCACATCGATGCTGCCTGACTCCAGGCCCAGCCTGAAATCCCTCTGGAATTCCACTTCTCTCTTCCTGACCTTATTTTAATGTTTCCCTCCTGCACGCTCTTCAGGAGCCTCTGACAGGCTTGTGCTTCCTCTACAGAACTCCATGAAGGCTTCTCATAGCTTGAGGGACACCATGAGCTCTGGGATTCACTCCTGGAACAGCCAAGCAGACGGACAGAGCTTCAGCTGGAACACCCTGCTGAGCCGCAGTCGGCACACAGACACTCCCAGCTACTTCAACGGTGGGTCTGGGTCCCCCCAGCTGGGACAAGTGCTCAGGAGTTGTTGTCTCAGCACCTGCAGAGGATGGGACATGGAGTCTTTGAGCTCCTCTTACCTTCCTGTGTGCCAGCCCAGACCCTGCTGAAAATGGGCTGTGAGGAGGCCCAATGCTCAGTGGCAAACAGGATCCACCCAGGGGGTTTGTCTTGCCAGGCAGTTCTGTGTCAGGCTCTGAGGTGGCTGTGCCTCAGCAGAAGGTAACAACTGCTCTTGCACCTTCCAGGAGTGAAAATCCAGATCCAGTTGCTAAGTGGAGAGAATTTACACATCAGGGATTTCCACAGGACGAAGGTGGGAGACATTGCCACGGGGATAAGCAGCCAGGTGAGTCACAGACTGGGAGTTAAGTGCCTCATTTTGTCTGGGGAGCAGTTCCTTCCGCAGTGCAACCTCCCAGCACCTGCACACCAGGGACACAGAAGGCATTCAAGGGTCCTAACAACACCTTTAGTAGCAGAACTTCAGTGCCACATACACACATTTTTTGAACCCTTCCAGGGCTGGTGACTCCACCACTGCCCTGGGCAGCCGTGCCAGTGCCTGGCCACCTTTTCCATGCAAGAGCGTTCCCTAATACACAGCCTGAACATAATATCAGACCCGAATTGGAAGCCATTGCCAATTATCATGGGGACAACAGGGATCTACATCTTAGAAAGGGCCTGTGCTGCAGCTTAAAACATCTCCTGAGCTCTAAAGATGAGTTCTTTCCCTGGAGAATAATCAGTCTGTGCCTTTTTCCCCACAAGCAGTAGCAGCAGCTCAGGGAGACAGGATGTGTTTGGCTGTGGGGCTTCCTTCTTGTTCGGTCGGAGATGTTGGCACCCTGTGAGCCTCACCGAGGGCCTCTTTGGCAGCCCCTGAAAGAACCTCCCAAGTGTCTGTGGCACTGTGACTCATCTGAGTGCAAAACGTGGTGATCATCTCTGGCAAAGAGGCTGCACCAGTCTAGAAAATGTTGTAGTGCTGTTGGTTCTCGCTGGTGGCCTCTGTTGTTGTGGACATCCCTGGGCTGCAGAGGAGTTCAGGTGCCCAAGCACAGGCACCTCAGCACGCCCAGCAGTGTCCCCGAGCTGGGGCAGGCTGGCAGCAGGGTGAGTGCTGCCTCGGCCCCTCCTGAGGTGCTTTGTGAGGAGGAGGATGTTCCTGCCATGCCCAGGCCTCCCCCAGGAGCCTTTCCTGCCCTGGGCAGCTGTTTGCTGGGTGTGATGGCGATACGAAGGAGCTCTGAAGTGCCTCTCAGCCCTGTGTGTTGTGCTTCACAGATCCCAGTGCCTGCTTTCAGCCTGGTCACCAAGGAGGGGCAGCCGGTGCGCTGTGACATGGAGGTCCCTGACTCTGGCATCGAGCTGCAGTGCACCCTGGCGCCCGACTGCAGCGTCGGCTGGACCTGGAGGGTCAAGCACGGACAGCTGGAGAACAGGCCGTGAGGCCCTGCCTGGTTTGGAGGTTTCTCCTCGTTGAAGGAAGGGATTTCAGAAGCTTCCAGCCCCCCCTGCCGTGGAGCACCACGTGCAGTGGCTGGTGCTGTGCTGCAGTGGGGTAGCAGCTCCACAGCTCACTGCTCTCGGGCCTCACTTCTGTCTGTTCTGACCCAGTTCCAAGACATGTCCTGAGCTTAGATGTTCCCCAGAACAGTGGGAATTACTTGTTTTGGGTGTGAATGTTAGAGCTTGAGAGCGGCGGGTGGAAATTCCTGCTTTTCAGAGGAATGGGAGAGCAGGGCTTGGGTGAGGCCTTGCTCAGCCTCTGAGGAGAAGCTGCTGGGCCTGCCCAAGGAGGAGGTTGGTGCCCTCAGTGCAGCTGCGGGTGGTTGTGCTGAGGGGAGCTGCCTGACTTCCTTCTAGCTGGAGGCAAAAAGGTTTCTGTAGGCTTTGAGGAGCATCACCTCTACCTCAAGCCATGTGCAGGGGGGAACGGGTTGCAGTCACTGGCTGAGGGCTTGGTTTCACCTCCCACCCTTCCCCACAGGCACTTCCTTCTGCAGTCAGAAGAGAACTTTGTTCCCAGAAAGAGCTTTGCTTGCAGCTCTCCCCAGCAGGTCTGGGAGGAGCTGCTGCTCTCTCTGGTGCCCCTGGCAGGCAGGGCAGGACGGGGGCAGGATCCCATGGTGGGAGGGTGTGACTTCAGGTGAGCTGTCCCACCCAGGCAGCTCCTCTGGAGGGGGAAGGGTCAGTGACTCCATCAGCTCCCACGGGGCTGAATTTTGCTGCAGCATTTATGCAAACTTCCTCCCAGCTCCCACTCCAGCCCAGTGCCCCAGTTCTGCTAGCTCAGCCTCACAAGGCTTCCCACTCCTCCCCTGCGTTCGCACTGGGCTGGGAGTGGGATGAGCAGCTGGGCCTGGAATGCCTTAAGCTTTGAACTACTTTTTTACTGATTTGTGAATGTTTGGAATATAGTGAAACCTCACAGGTCACATTTAGGTGCTGCTGACCCTCCTGTAGCCCAGAGCAAAGCCAGAGGGAGGTGTGAGCTCTGAGTGTGCTTGTCCAGGGCATCACAGTCCCTGCGTGGTGGCTGTGGCTCTTTCAGAGCTCTGGGACTGCAGTGGCCTCGTAGCAGGAGCTCTGCATCCTGAGCAGAGACACAGCTCCCAGAGGACAAGGTAGGCTGTACCCATGTGCTGTTCTGGGGACACTGCAGGGCAGTTTGCCCTAGTCCAACTCTGGGCCTCCCTTTTTGAGGAGGGAACAAGGGATGCTCCTTCCCTGTGGCCTCCCATAACCTGGGCTGGCTTTGCTGCACCAGGCAGTGACATCCCTGATCAGAAAACTTGAGTTGTGATGTAATGAAAAAGTGGAACTCACAGACAAATGAAACCTGTCACCACTCTGGGTAGAGTTTTTATAGCACTTTTTGTTCTAAAGCACTTAATATGTTTTCCAAAATAGGCACCTAATTATATCTGCAATGTTCAGAGTCATTTTAGCAAATAATTAACACATTATACATGTCTTCCAGGAAGGACTGGGGGAAGGGGCAGCTTGGCTCAGTTTCTCTTCTGGTGCCATAAGCTACTAAGAGTTGTAAGCTTTGAGCCCTCCTGCTCCAAAGTGCCTCTTCCAGGGCTCCCAAGCACATCCTCAGTGCAGGCCTGGCCCCTTCCCTGGCTTCCTCTGAGGGGGAGCAGGAAAACCTGTTAGAAACAGGTCTGTGAAACCAATGAGTCTGTGGTGATGTGTCAGCCCAAGGGCTGCACTGGTGCTGCTGCTGTCTGGGAGATGGCCCAGTGTCCAGGTGTGTGTGTGGTTCTGGGCCTGGTGTCCAGCCCTGGAGCAGCAGGACTGTCTGCAGGACTCCTGAGCTCTGCACTCCGTGCACAGCATTAAGCTTCCCTCAGCCTCCTGCACTGGGGGCACAGAGCCCTTGTGCACCTGGAGTGTCCTCGCTGGGTCCCTGGGGGTGTGTTCCCCTGTGCCCTCACAGCAGCATTAGCCAGGACCTCCATCCTCCCTGTCCAAAGCCTTCAGTCCTGGTTGGCTGAGACTGCAGGTTCCCAGCCCATAGCTCCTTGCTGTGACACTCGTGGATGGGCTGTGGTGTCCCTGCCCCTGGGACAGACATGCCACAAACCACTGGTGCCCCCTCAGTGCCCTGAGATGGGATTCTCCTCCCAGGAGCATCTCCAGGTCGTGCTGCCAACCAGCTTGAGATCTGCTCAACTCTCTCCTGCTGCCAAGACCAGTTCCTCTTCGTTTGCCTTGTCATTTTGCTGCAGCAGCTTCCAGCTGAAGTCTGGCAGTGCAATCCTGACAGGAGAGAGTCGGGGAAGCTTTTCTTATCCTAGTTAAAACTTGGCTGCAACTGTCAGGTTTCATAACTAGTGTTTAGGACAGAGCCCCAGCTCAGGGTGGGGAGGAGAAGCAGCAGTGGGAGTGATAAACACAGATGGCTCTTGTCGTGCAGCTCCTTCCAAAACCCTGGAAAAATCACTGTCAGTGAGGCAAGATGAAGCTGAGGATCTCTGGGATGGGCAGCACTGGTGTGGGGGAAGGTGCTGGAACAAGGAGCTTGTATGGAATGTATGACACTTTATAAAACTGTGATTTCTTGAAGTTAACATTTTTGACCTGCATTTTCACAGGGAAAAATAAATCTAAAAAAAAAAAGATTATTTTTATTCTCTTTCCTGGTGATTTGGTGGGTTGTCCTGGAGAACAAGATGATGGTGCTGAGTAAGACAGTTTTTCAAGAAGAGGAGTGTGGGCTGATTCCAGTCTGACCCTGGAGCTGGGGGATGCAGATGTCCCTCTGCAGCTTCCCTGGAGCCTCTTCAGCTCCTGCAGGTGCTCTGAGGTCTCCACACAACCTTCTCCTCTCCAGGCTGAACAGCCCCAACTCTCAGCCTGTCCTCGTAGGGGAGATGCTCCAGTGCTCTGATCTTCGTGGCCTCCTCTGGGCTTGTCTAGCAATTCCCTGTCCTAGAAGATGCTCACAGGAGCTGGCAGCACCTCCTCACTCAGGGGAGTGGGGCAAGAAGCAGCAGCTCATGCCTAAATCCTTCCCCCCTCCCTCCCTCCCAGCGTCCCCCTCTCCATATAAACCTTCACCCTTCTCCCAGACACGTCCTTTATCCTCTGAGACATTTTATTACCAGTTCAGCTTTAGATTAAACAGGCTTTCAGTATATAAAAATAATGTATACAAATGAGCAGTTAATGGTTTACACTTCTGGCTTAAAGGCAAATATAAGTTACACACTCGTTCCCGTCCCTGCCCGGGCGACACGGAGCCAGCGCTGGAGCAGCTTAGGTACAGCAGGGAGCAGGTCAGGGCTCAGCACTGTGGGTTTGGGGCGCAGCAGTGCGGGTTTGGGGCTCAGCACTGCAGGTTTGGGGTGCAGCACTGCAGGTTGGGGTACAGCACTGTGGGTTGGGGTGCAGCAGTGCGGGTTTGGGGCTCAGCACTGCAGGTTTGGGGTGCAGCACTGCAGGTTGGGGTACAGCACTGCGGGTTGGGGTGCAGCAGTGCGGGTTTGGGGCTCAGCACTGC